GGGTCAAGAATGAGAGCGTCTAGTCGCTCACGGGAAAAAAATTCCAAGTATCCGATTGGGCTGATAAGTTGATGACACTACAACCGAAAAGCCTTCGGACGAATCTGATGCCTAAATACGTAGCGCCGTTTGGAAGAAGCGCTTACCTAGCCTTAAAATGAACCAGTTCCTTGATAGCATGATAGAAGGTGATCGGGAACCTAGTCGAGAACACCCGTCTAAAAAAGCTTGTCATGCAACTTCCTTTACCAAGCGAATGTGGGACGTTTAGCCAACCAACAAAAATAGAACGAGCTAATATCATAAACTTGTTTGTTATTCTCGTATTTACTTCGCAACGGTTGCTCAGACACATTTCACAAATAAAAGCTAAGTGTTTTGTATCCGGTACTTGAGGCATTCCATCAGACTGCAGGTTTCCAGCACGAAACAAGATGTGTCCACGGCCGGATTCGAACGCAGATTATTACGGGTTCCTCAAGGCAACCTCAACTGGCAAACACGTTACACAAATAAAACCTAAACTGCCATAACCACCCCCATTCAGCAAGTCGTTCCCCTAACAACATCGAAGGCCTTTTTTTTTACTTGGAAGACGTAATTATTCTTATCACAAAGATGTCGATTTCCGATAGCATTGTCAAATTCATTTCGAAATTCCTTGAAATGAAATACGGTTTGAGATTCATATGTGTGGCTGCCCAAATGTTCATGGTTACTTTGTATGGGAGTCACCAAACCGGCGAATAGCACGACCTGCCTAAAGAGCGGCGTTTCACCACTGCAACTGCTCATCTAACGTTTTATTACTTATCACGTCTCGTAGAGTTATACGTGCAAACTAAGTGTAAAACCCACTCGTTCTGCAAACACAAAGAAATTATATTTACACAAAATGGCAGACGGTCATGGGCAATCAGGGGAAAAACGCCGTAATCAAAGCAATCGCTGTTTCAATGAGTATACAATTGTGCATAAAGTTTTGACGGGTTTCTTTCTGTTAATAATGTTCTGACTGTGGTAAATATACGTAGAGTCCTCACACCAGCTATGGCAATGTTACACTTCATGGAGGTACATCAACTCCAATATATACATAATTTTGGATGTTCCAAAATGTTTCTAATCCTTCAGAAGATTGAATAAGCTTCACTTTAAAATTGGCAATAATAGCATTCGCTTCATGTAAATTGCCCTAAGTCCGACTGAACAAATCCAGAGTTCCCTTTCAATTACCCCACCCCATAGTGCCTTTTATTATCTTCTCCATGAGTTTCGCCAGGGCTACAAATTGCAATTTGCTGTCTATTCAACGACGTTTTTCGGTATCTTCTCCATTATTTCGAGCCACTTATTCTACCCAACAGCGGTTGTCGGTTACCCTTTTTAAAAATTGTTTCCATCGGAGTCTGCCTGCCGACCGCTCAGTGTTAGGTGCGCGCTTTACTACAGGAAATGGTATGGATAATCGGTGTGTGCAGTATTTCTACTTCCACTTTCTTCCCTTCATTAGGGGCATATTGTCGGGATGCGATTCATGAACAAACGGCCTAATCTCAAATTCCAGTTAGCTACAAAAATGGCAGCAGAAAGTGAAAGAAAAAAGGCGAGACCATTCATGGGCATTCAGCCTCATCCACCTCCTCTTCAGGGGCACAAACGAAGCCCCATGCCCACTCGCACACATACACGTTTGTTCGCCAGTATCCTCAGCCCCACAGGAGGCAAAGAGCCTACGCTCTGTATCCGTCTTTACATAAAACGGAAAAAAGAATAGTAGTCGACAAAAAGCAAATTTCGGATATTTCAGCTTTCTCTGCTGCTACATATACTCGAGCTGCTGACTACTGATGCATTACCCTGCTCTTATTCTACTAAAGGGGTGCTAACGGCAGTGTCTTCGATGTTTACGCATTGTACCCAGTCGGGATGGAAGGACGAAGGCTGTTCGGTTGAGTAGAGTCAATCGATTTGTATGTTTTTCGTATAAAGTAAGTGTGGGTCATTTTTATATATAACGCTTTTCAGCTGAACATACATGAATTGAAGATCAAAGTGATGACTGTGTACAGCGGCCAGTTTGAAATGTTTTTTTTTTTTATTTTATGTGGTATTGTTTGGCTTTTGCCTTAGACAACGGTTCGATTATTCAGCAAGATCATTATCAACTGCTAACTGTCTTAACCAAATGACGGTAGTACTACACACGTACAAATGCTGTACGAAGACGTGGCGACCTGTTTTTTATCATACTTGAATATGTGAGAGCAAGGGTCCATGCATAACTAGTAGAATCACAGACATCCGTAAATCTACTCGAAATACAATCAGAGCAAGTTATTTAATAGTAGCGGGTGGTAGAGTAATAAAGACCACAACTTTAGTCCGACCAACCGTAATAGTTGTAGCAGTTTTTTTGCATGTGAGAGGAGAGAAAACAATATGAACTGACCCCGTTCTTTCTTGTACCTGTCTACTTTCTCTGTAGACATCAAAAACAAATCACACATACTGAAAAGATCGCAGAACCGATCGATCTAAAAGCGTTATTATACGATACTGTTCTGCTAATTATTTTTCTGGCCGCCACAGCACGATACATGTGAGAGCGGCTGCTTCGTACGGTCTCCACACCATCGACTGAGGCCAGCCAGATACCGCTGGACGGATGGAATAAAAGAACTTTGTGAGTGAATTTTCTTTATGGTATTGACAGAACAAGCCGTTCATAAGCATATTCCGACCCCTTGTTCCATGTAAGGCTTCCTCACAACGGACACAGTTGGCCAAGAATAACACATTTCAACTTTGCTTCCATTGTATGCCAACGACGGTTATAGTGAATGGCCCTGGCTACCGCGATTAGCGGTAAGCGGAATGCTCGTCGAAGCGTATGGTTCACGCAGTGTTCGCTAGCAGTGCGTGGCCACGCCGTTAGTAATAAAAAGAGACCTACGCTGGGGCCTATCTCAGCAACAACTCAGGTTATTTATTTACAACCACTGCGTCAGCCTGAAGCTACTCAGGTTCAAACACTGATAAAGCTCTCTGTTTCTGCTACGCTCAGGCTCAAACAATGATAAAGCTATCTGTTTCTGCTGTGCTCAGGATCAAACGCTGATAAAGTTATCCGTTTCTGGTACGCGTCCACGTATTTACCCAGGCTCGTTGTTGATCTAGTTTACGGGAGAATATTAGTTTACCAATAACTGATAATTCTGGATATTTGTATGAGCTCAACCAACACCGTCAAATAGCAATTTTATGCAAACGCGTAAAATTGTTAGAAAAAAAATTTAGAACATTTCTGTTTCTTTTTATCATATTCTATTATTTTATATGAAGAGTTACCAGTTTGTCGGTAACCTATACCATTTTACATTTTCTTCGAAGGGCAATTAACGTACTCGCGAACCGCGGGTGCAATAAAGTAAAAGTTTTATATTTTTCCAAAACACGACAACGAATCAGCTTATACTTCAGGAAGCTATTCGTTAACATACAGCACTTACGTATGCTGTTTATTAATGCTTGTTTTTATACATATAAAAACTGTTCTTAGCTAATTAAAATGACAGCTGTCATTTTTCCGCTAAGGACAATGTACGTAGTGTTCCTTCCGAGCAGCATTTGCATATTATTAATGCACTTGAAGACATGAATCGTACTGCGTGGGTGGGTCTTTAAACAAGTGACAGCAGTTAATTAGATATCTCAAAAGTGACGGTTACCCATTGATAGGTACCCGTAAGTGGAAACCTTATGTCCATTGAAATTACATAACATGAGCTAGTGAAGCATGGAAACTTATCCACGGTTGAATGCATATGGCCAAACTGCCATACGACTAACAGTGGCGTGGACGAAAAAGGTGCGACCTTTTGTTTACAATTGAAATTGGTTTGGCCATAATTGATCACGGCAACCACTGCGGTGATAGTAAGTGAGAGATTGTGAATTACTATTTGCTGTGTCCGGCTTTGTGATCACTGCGAACCTATTGCAGATATGTTAGTCGATCGTTGCTTAACTTAGTGACTTGACAATAGATCCAAAGTAATAAATCTTGTTCAAAACTCGCTCTTCAACGCATCTTGTGTAGTACTGCAAGAGGATTTGTAGGCGATGCGCGTTTGGTCCAGCCGTATGTTGGGCGACATCTGCTTTCCGTAGCCAGATTCTCGTCGACTATAGTTTAATATAGAGGTTTGCGGGTACAGGACTAATCGGAAAGAACCTGCGTAAGCTATGTCGATTTTGTGTAATAAGGAAGTTTCGTAAATGGTTATAGGAAAAAAAGGTCCCTCAGAATATTCCAAAGCTCCTATTGCTGATTCCGTTTAAGATATCCGTCCTCTGATGCCTGATGAAGCTGATCCCATTAACGATACCGTCTAATGGTTTGATCCGCTCCCTTCGGCGTAAATGTGAGAATGTGTCGATCAGGGTAAGGTTAAGCCCATCTGATACTCTGATCATAGAAAGGGAGGGAGGGACAATAGCGTTTGGTTTAGACCACTCTGAAAGCGACTGTTCAGAAAATAGAGCGATAGTAATCGACATACTGAAGTATTACGTTGCAATTTAATAAAGTGTTATTTGTTAATTTAGGTTACGCACAAAAGTTCAATCCTAGATTGGCGCACGAAGCTGAGGAAGTTTTACATTGAATCTACTAGATTAAGCGCATTACATCAGATAATTGATGAATGTGGATAAATTCAGACTTGAATAATCATCGATCTCGTTACATTAATTATAATCGTTAATTATCGTAGCTACTCATATCATTGAGACATACACAATGTTTTAGAATCTGGTGTAGATATTGGTGGTGTGGACTATTTGCTCCGTTATCGAAATACGTTTAGAAGAAAAAAAAAAGTAAAATGTATCGTCTTTAGAATATAATTGTAAAAGTCGGTGTCTATCGATATCCTTGTCTACTGTATTCATTTGTTACGGCAAGGAGTGTCTCAAGGAATATGTCAAGTACTCACGCTCTGACGCGGGGATGACGAAGCACAGTTGTGTTTATCGGAGGAATTTTTAAGCTAAAAAAGGAGAAACAAAAATATACAGTGCAAGATAGCTAAAGAAAACAAAACCAAATGTTTATATATGAATTAACATAAAACTCAAACTTAAAAAGTCAAAAGAATATAACCGTACACGGGATATGAAGCAACGAAATATTTATATATTTGTAAGAAAAAGATGAACAAATTGTTTATAAGTTATTATTATAAAAATGGTTATGAAAAAAAGGATAATAATGCTGGTTTAATATTTAATAAAAGACTTAGTTTAATTGTATATAACCTGTTGTGTTTTAAAGACGTTGGGGAGAACTAACCTGTCATCACATAGGACATTGATAAGTTTAGGGTCCATTTTCTTGTGTGGGGTGCTGCCTCCCTGAGGATGGTTGGAATTTGGACGCCCATTTTGTCCACTCTGAGTACCTCCGATACTTAATTGACTGATCGGGTTAGCACCGAGGTGAGTTGAGCCAACGTGTGGCGACTGTTGGGCGGAGTGCTGTTGTACGTCATGGCGTCTTCGATAAAGACTAGCGCCTCCTTCGCTCAGGTAGCCACTCGGGATTTCTTCCAGAACTCCGACGGCGCATCCTCCACGACCGGGCCTGAGTACGTCTCCGTCCGATAAATATCCTCCTACGTCATCCTTTAGTGCGCCTAGTTGTCCTAGTTGCCCGACGGCACCTTGACCCGGTGGGTGATGCTTGAGCCTAGCCATATCCCGAGAAGCCGCTAAGAGGTGGCGCGCAAATGCCACTCGCGAGGGATCGGCCTGCAGCCGCAGCGACGGAACGTGATACTTTCCTCCCGGAATAAACCTACTACTTCCTTGATTCGGCGCTCCTTGGCTGCCCGGCTGGTTTGCCGACGGACTGCGCAAATAGCTGCCATAAGGAGCATTACGGGGTTGTAATGGCTGCATCGGACTGATTGAGTCAATCTCTTCGTCTTCGTCTTTACGTTGACTTTGCTGTTCCGTTATGTCTGTCGACTTCTTGAGTTCTTCAAGAGAACGCTTATTATTGTTAGTTCCGTGCGAGTTGACCATCGGTGAGACCATCGCCACCTTGTGCATGGCGGGACCGCAGCGGGGCAACGTATTACGTCCAAGTTCAAGTTCAGCTTGATATGCTAACACGGGCGGCGTTTGCTGGGTACCCTTTACAGCTGCCGTCGGCTTTGGAAACGTCAGTGATTTTATCTGCAGGAAAGGCACAAACAATGTTAAAAGGAATTGTGAATTTTTTGATTTTCAAAGCTTGCATTTAAAAAAAAATGGCGAGTATAACAATTTACTGCGATAATAACATAGTTTACACTTGAAAGTCAACAAAACATATTACTGTGTCCTAATTAATCTTGCGTATAATTTTATATATAGGGACATACTTCACGCACCTCTAACTGTGGCGGTTCAGGTATCTTAATCAGCAATGGATCTACAATAAGCACTGTGTCAGATAACGATGAAAAATGGCTGTTCTGCGAGTGTTGCAGGTCTCCTTCATGACTATGTAACAGATCGTCTTCTTCGTATTCGTCTTCTTCGATTTCCACTTCCTGTTCCCTCTCTCCGTTCACCTCTTCAGCCTTTTCGTTCAGTGTACATACGTTCGTTAATTGGACGGTCTGGATCTCCTCGGCCTCGATGATTTTCGCGGCCTCGGAGACAGTCGTTTCAAGGACGGTTGGCTGATTGTCCTCCTGTGAAATGTGGCTTTCTCGCGAGGAGCTACCAAGCGAGGAACTGTCTGATAGCCTTTGTTGTAGCAGATCGGGACTCTGCTTGGGTGATGACGTGTGCTCTTCATACGAGATACCGCTGTCATCCGCGGAAGGACACTCAACTTCTTCACAGGTGTCTTCGACGGGCGAAATATCGTTTAGGCTAGCCGGAGGTGGCTCTTCGGACAGTAGAAGTTCAACGTTTCGTTCTGAAACGCGAATATGACAATTCGGTGATAAGTCTTCTGCACGTCGCGTTTCCGGTCTCGGAGGAGGTGAGGGGGTTCGCTCGAGCTGTTCGGCCTTCGGAGGTAAAGGCGGCGCGTCCTTAGGAGGCCGTGGCGGAAATGAAGATGGACTCTGTTCAACTTCAGACTCTTTTGGGGGTAGTGGCGGTGGCGGAGCTGACGCTGTTGCCTCCGGTAAAAGAGGAGGCGTGGAGATTTGAAGTAGACGACTGTTTCTACGGGAGCTATTGCTACTAGTGCCGTTATGATCGCTGGACGCTGTCGAAACTACGGAGCTAGGCCGTGAAGGTTTCGGCCGACCAAAATGGCCTGAAGGAGGGCGCAGCCCTGATGGAGGCGTCGGCAGGCCAGAAGTGTTTGCTGCTGCATTGAGAGATGACGAACAATCGCTAATCGATGATACACTAGATACCGACCTAAAATCGCCACAAATAGATAGGTGTATCAATGGTTAATATACAAATTATCTTAATTACCTTTTGTTTTTCTCATCACAACTAATATATGATTAGGTTTCCATTTATCTACTAGAATCATTGCATTTTATATGACAAATGTTTTTAAAGCTGTTCTTTGGTGCAACTGCCGTCTAAAGAAAAAACTAGTATGCATACATAGTCTTATATCTCTATTTATTAAGACTTCTAAAAGTCTTAGATAGAAGTTCTAAATGAACTAAGAATAGCAAGCTGTCATGTAGTATAAAACTACTGCAGTTAGATTGCACTCAAACACAACTGCTCTGTATACTTATGGAGCACTTGCGGCAAGCTCACCTGTTACCCTGAAATCCGGATAGGTTTTGTGGCTGATCGGACGTATTCGCGTTCTGCACGGGTGCAGTAGCTGCCTGATTCTGTCCCGTTGCAAGTGGTCTTGAACCGCCGTTTCCAAAAGACCCAGGGGCCTTCCGGGTGGTCGCAGGAAGGCGCGAGGATGACCCTACTGGAACTGTTGGCTCGAGTTTAGTTACCTGGGCAATCTGCGTTTTTGGCAATCCTCCCACCGAAGGGGCTAAAGCAGAATTTGTAGAGGGAATAGTCGATATATTGTAAAATATGATTTGCTATGCACTGATATTTTTAAGGATTGCCTCAATACCGACGAGTTCTTATTTGATATACACTCCTATTTACTCACATGAAGTGTACAAGCTTCCAAGTTTCCATGATTTATTCAAATGGCAGCGGAACTGAGCACGGCATATTCGATATGGGATCTAAGATTAATCTTTCAATGCAATCCATAAATGAATATCTTAAGAAAAGGAATAAATAAGTACGGAGGTTTTAATAGAAGTACAGCCCACCAAAAATCAGTGTCATCATCTGTAATTGTCTAACGTGTAAATTTCATAGCCAAAGATGAATGTTGTATCTTATATACTTTTACCTTTGAGCTGTTTTGAAGTCTGTTCATGCGTCGTTCCTTTTTTCGGTTTAGGGATCTCTTTGCTAGATTGAGACACTACGGGTACCTGGTTCACCTGTTGACTACTAGGCGCTCTTGAAATAGAGCCAGGTTTTTGTATAGACGACGATCTTCCAGAAGCAGCCTGTGGCAAGGATTGTGTCGAGCCGCCAAGGGACGATGGCCTTCATATAGACAGGACAAAAATTTAAACATGAGAATAACTATTTATGAGAGTCTAACTGTGAGTGCATTTTTCAAAGCTTACGGTAACAAAGGACAGTCAGTCCGTCTCTGAAGGCCATTTTAAAAACATAGTGGAGCAACATAGTTCGCGTAATATGGATTCGATTTTTGCAAACTTGTGCCATTTTGTTAATTTTAACGCGTTTTTGATAGTTTCAAATCTAAATTAGATTCAATATACCTTGCGTTCTGCCCTTTATTTAACACACACAGCCATTCCTGCCAATCGGACGGCTGCTTTGCGTAAGGAACCATTCAGCGATATTTAGCATCTATATAGATATAGAGATGTGGCTATACATCGAACATGCGGAAATCACTGTAGTGCTCTGAGAAGCAGGATAATACGGTAGTGGCTGTGTCTGTTACATAAAAGGTAGCAAACCTAGCAGATACGTTAATTGCATTGATCGTTAATTCTACATTTGTTCATTAAAAATTCATGTAGTTGTAAATTTCAACGCTTGAATGAACGAGTGTTAGGTGACCTTCACAAACTCAAAAGATCACCATTGTATCCCGCATGTCCTAAAGGAAAACTAGCCAACGATTTTGATTGGGTGGTTTTTCTTCTTTTTGGACTGGTGTTCGCATAGCTACATTATACTATGAGCCAGCATACAGTACGCAATCTTAGCCAGGTTGTCCGCGTGGCTATTGCGACGAGTCAGCAATAGGTGATAACGGACCGCTAAAGCGCTAATACAGTCAAAGACGTGAGTAAATTGTCTACCGAAACAAATCTTTATTTTACGGTACGATGTAAAACGTAGATATTTTAATACGGTAAACGGCACCCTACTTGAAGCTATTTCCGGAGGTCACACAGCACAGCAAAGCAATGGGCTCAATTTAAGAGCATAGGCATCTTTTCTACCCCTCATCGAACAGACGGCTGTTCTGCTCACGGTTTTACGGCGACTCTGACCTTCTGCTTAGCCCGTACATCTGACTAAATCTAATATCCTTTAAAAATATCTCAATTTCGGTGTAAACGACAATTTGTTTTCGTTTCAGCACATAACGGCAATGGATTAAATAGCAGAAGCAATATTGACTAATACTTTCGGTGAACGCTGTCTATTCTAATTTTCGGTCTATGATCCCCACGTCGCCTCTCTCTTGATAAACCCATTGCGTTTTATGTGACACGAACGTAGGGGTGGATCTGGCAGACATGACAGCAATGTAATACCCTACTAGAGAGTCTCAAGCACGATGTTCTTGGATGTGATTATTGGCTATATAAAAAAACTGTGTAGTCTTAGACATTGTCTAGCATAGGCCGCACACTAGATTGAATAAGAAGCCAAACCAGACGAAATCCAAATCAAATTATCATTGTTATTTTACAATTATATATTGCATCACCTGCTATACCCATTTTCAGCAAATCGTCTTCATCAAGTAACTACTATTTACAGAATAGTCTAGCACCTTTTTTCAAATTTCACAAAAATTTCGAAAAATCGTTTCTTCCCGCTTCTTCGAGATCACTTACATTCAGTGAATGACCACTTTGACGTGAAGTCATCTCACTGAAAAACACCGTCATCAGCCAGCAGGCACATTTGAACATCTTACCTCGACACCTCAGCCGTACGTTAAGCCACAGTTCGTCACTAACAAGAGCCTATAGATTGCCTAACAGCATTGCGCTCTTTGGCATTATTGGACTCTTTGGCTGTATTGACTAACTTCGTAAACACATCTGAAAATCATTAATTTCAGATGAAATTTAAGTATACGAGGTAAATTAATCATCGACCAGTTCCGCAATTCCTTTCAGTTTCAATTAATAGATGGCGTAAACCATACCTCTCAGTTAACTCACAAGCTCAGTTGACTCCCACTAAACTTGAAACGAATTTTTTTACGTCGGATGGCCTACACTTTGGATTTTTATATTGGACACACGCCACGCTAGGCTGGGGTTACCTACCCGATGATTTATACCTTTCAAAAATGCTCGCGTTGGTTTTTCTGGCTTCAAATTGAACAATTGGTGACGACGATGACACGTGGAGATATTCGTCATTTACTAGTGACTGATTTTACTCGCAGTGATGAAAAAAAAAAACGAAGAGTACTGAATTGTGGCCATCGTTGACATTTGCTGGGTGACAGAATGCGGCAAAGTAAATCTCACTGAACTAGTCATTTAACTCTATTAAAGAGTACCTTATTTTCTTCAAATACACAAATGAACCTGATACTTTATTGTCGCGTATAAGAACTTCAAATATAAACTTAGACGATAACGTCAACACTTAAGATGTACTACTTCAGCCAGAAGCCACTAAAGGGAGAAACTTCTAAATCTACATCCAGAGCCATATAATGAAACGGTCTCATAGACTGGCGCTCTATAGTAATAAAATCATGCTTCGGCATGTACAACTGCTTGAGATAGAAGTGTTGCTCTATTACAACAACAGCCAATCAGAAGAGACTTTCGGTCCACACCAAAATCATTACTCTCTTAGAGTTTACTAATTTAAATTCTACCAAAAATAGTTAATAATGGTCTGCACCAAAATGTATCTAACTATCTTGTGCTGACACGAGGCGCTTGATGACATACAGGAACGCAGTACTGGCTATTTTCCGGTGGTGATCGTAGGTTTTCCAGTGCGTAAACTTCACTGAAGAACAAGAAATTGAACGGATCAACAATTCGTCTATTTTTGGCTCTTTGCGCGCATATAACCCAACGCAACATCGTACTGGTCGTTATCAACCAAAATTGACGTCAACAAAAGTCGGAATCGAAAAATTATCAGACCATGAACAATAGCAACGACGAAAGAAAAAAATACTGCCATTGAAATTTCCAGACCGTGAAGTCGTTGTAACCGAATGCGATTCGGCAGCTACGAGCACCAGCAACCACCACTATAACACTGTTGACTATCTGTTGTTGTCGCTGCTACTGCCCGTCTTCAATACAACCATTTATCAACGACGAACTCCATATATCTCCACACATATGTCTTTCCCTTGCTTGTTGCGTGTTTCAAAAGACATTAGCCTCAATTACCAAACGAAAGCTGTATCTGCTATAGCGTGCGAATCCAGAGACCAACATCATGGTAGGGACGTAAGATTAATCTAGAAAGGTTAGCTTCCTATGAAGCGGAATTAAAGAAGGAGACTTTAAGCGACTACGACATTATCAGTTAATTATGTTGTAACTTACTCAGGTTTGGATCGCGAAAGAGTATAAACTATCTTCACGAAGAAGCTACGTCTGATCAGTCCGCACGATAATTTAATTAGCCAATAGTTGCAAATATAACACAGGCTATAGTGAGTATATGTATATATATATATATATATGCTGTTCCAGAAGATAACCTAAAAATTCCAAAGCGATCTACTTACTAACCTGCCGAGATCTACGTATCAGTTTTTGGTTCTATGGTTAGATCGTCAACTTCAAGATCGTGGCGCTGCGGGACGCAATCGATGTAAAAACTAGTTGATAATACAGGTAAACAAAGCTGGACTCGAAATGAGAACGACGCGTTAATCGGATAAAGGATCACTGACCGAACTATTTAAAATCGGAAAAAAAATTATCGCCTGTAGCAAATGCCGCCAAAATTCGAAAGCGCACTTTAAAGCGATTGTCCCTATAAATAGGCTGGTTTTCAAATTGGTCCATTCTCTTACCTCTGTTTCTGATTCGAGAGGTTCGGAATGCCTTTTGTAAGGCCGCTGGTGATATGGCCTGTGGCAAGTGACGGTGAACTAGACCGAGAACCGCGTGATGACGGCGGAACCAAGCCGCTTTTGGGATTTTGAGCCACACCCGACTGAGAACCTGTAATACATGGCAAAAAAATAGAGAGTTACCGCTACATTCAGAACACGTTATTTAATTGACAAGGGTACAACAGGTATACTATCTGTTGCTAAAGCCGACTATCAATCAATGTTTTTGAATAAAATGTAAAGTCGATGTTTTACGTCATTCGATGGCTTAGTGTGAACAGCCGATGGGTTTAACTCATTATGATTCTATAATACAATGGGTTAAGCAAAACGTTCTAACCCAGTATAAGCAAATCAGTTGATATACTGTTCAAGAAGTGGAAACGGCCAAGTTCATCTCTACGCGCGTTAGAAAATAACTTTACTTACCGTCAAGGCGAAACTTTTTATCATTTATCACATAAAAGAATCGTAAGTTTTTGTACAACAGAAAGGTTCGTTTATAACATGCCTGTCGGTAGGAAGATCTATACCGATTCCAGTTTATAAACAACCCATATTCATTCGGTTGTCGGAAAGGGGACGGCTCTAAGAAACATGGATTCGCTGCACAAGCAGAACCTCAGCTGGCTAGTCCGGTCCCGATAAGACAACAATCCAATCAAATACCATTGATAGTGCAGTACCTATTTGAGAATACCGGTCATCGTAGCATCGACCAGTACCTAGATGCTTTTTGCAGACTAAGACCAGGTAAGCGATTCGTTATGTCTAGAAGACAGAATGGATGATCGCGTTCGTCATCTTTTACAAAAGCTGTTAGAGTTGAAACAAGCGTCCATGATGCCATTCAATACTTCTGACTGGGACACGACGGCCGAAGTGTCTTGCAATAACGTCGTTGGCCATTCGGCGCATTCTTTATTTCCAAACCCATGAAACAGTTATGTTTCTTTAGTTATTAGGGTATAATGGATGCTTTATAAACATCAGTTCGAGCAGAAAGTAGTTTAGGTACACAGTAATCGTTGAAAGGAACAATGGCAAGTTACAAAACCTGGGGGTTTTTGCTGATGCTTCACTTTGAAACATATTACGGGTATCGTCCGGCATGAAATGACACTTGCCAATAAACTATCCAACAACGGACATGTTATTTTTTTCTACAGCAGACATTTTCTACAGCACTGCTGAGTACGTTGGCTACGCAGGCTATGGTTTAACAAAGCTTCGATCAATGAACTATGTACGAATGGCAGCTCCTATATGAACAGCGACAGTGGCGGAAATATATAAGCGTAATTACTACTATTCTTGATGCTGTTTCTACTCCATCCGATTAGCCGGCTGGTACAGATAAAAGTAGTTCTATGCCTTTGTAAACTGTATTTATAACCTAATGAACATATTGTCAGGCCAATGACAAAAGCGCCAACGTAGACATACGGAAGGAAAAAAAATATGTCTCTAAACAGATCAAGAAGCAATTTGAGCTGTTGTACCTGTTTAATGATGGCCGCGATTCTTCCGTCGTTCTATATTAACTACGACTTTTACCGCGACAGCTGTGTTTACTACGAAAAGGCAGCGCAGGCACAATCGTTAGGCAACGCTGTGCGCAAGGCACTAGCAACCTTCGTCTTAACAGGACTTGTACCACGTGCCTATAGTCTAATAAAAGTTAAAGAATGGCCAAGCTTCTTTTTTACTGTTATTCGATTCTGGTAATTTAATTTCCTTTCACTACCGGTTGAGTTTAGAGGAAACGACTATCATTAATAACAGGACGAAGGGGACATTAAGCGAAATTAACAATTGAACGTGAACGACGATAAATGTTCGAAGAAAATACACAGTTTTCAATGTATGCACATTTGTAAACACATTGTTTCTGCTGCCTGTCGCTAGATCCGTCAAAATTAACCAACGTTAAATTTTGAAAAAAGCTTGAGAACTCATATCAGAATAACAGATCTTGCCGAAGTAGTAACTAAACAGCACATTGTTATGGTATGATCAGCGTTTGTGTGTCGTCTACTACGACACCATTTTGCCGATGACAATTGTCGGTTTTCAAGATCGTAGCGTCGTTGCCAGAGATGAACTCGCTACCTCACAACGATCTTTTAACGGATTAATGAACAAGATTTCAAAAGGAAAACAACAAGATCTGTTTGATCGTTGCCGTCAGGTCTACTCTTCACTTCGAAATCGATTTGAACACGAAACAAGAAGCCATCGTAAATAATTACATCTAGCTTGTAAGTGTAATGATCAATTTAACAGTAAGTTGCGGTAGTATTCGTAAGGGAAACATTGTTCAAATTGTTTTCCCTTCTATTGAAGTCATTAACGCCACTCCTATTAAGCCATTGATTTGTCGCACGCTTGGAACACTGCTAGTTACATCGATTCCTGCAGCTTCTGCCTGAATGCCGTTTACTGATAAATCAGAGACTAGTCCCTTACATCGTTATATATAGTGTCCATGCGTGTTTAATCGTGCCGTGCGGCCGTACACGTGCACCTTTGCAATAGATAATTCGAGCCATTTTAATCGTACATACGGAGCCGCTGCTGCTGCAGCTGTCAGACAAAAAGGACCACTATTACTAGCTCGCCTACTTTTTCGTCTAATGATAAATAGGGGGGCAGGGAAAAAAAAAGCAAGAGTAATATGCCCGACTGTGCTGATATCAGCGCCAATACCGACCGTGTCGTGTCTAATACTGCTCGTCGGGTGTTATGTAGAAGAAACTAGCGTTTCGTAGATGTGAACAAGGGAGGGGAACGAAGGAGGTTGTGCGCAACAAAACCTCCAGCCAGATGTCGCGAAATCGATCCTAGTCAACTAAATATAAATGGCGAATGTATAGAGGATCATACGATTGGATCAAAGAGAACATGCTAGCAGAAAAACACTTGCGGAACAACTAGCAACCGTTAACACATAATAATACATTAATAAATAACATGCCCATTATCATGGAGGGTCTCGAGGGAGTCGGCAGCGCCATTCGTAGTAAACACGGTTTTTGAATTTCATCTGACAGTATTAAAATAGTGTCACTCGAGAAGCCCGAAACCAAGTGCTGCTGCTAAGTAACTGGTATCGTTCTGTAGTATAACAGAAGTTAGGCGGAAAAAAACTGGGCGTCGCCGATTGTTACCTCCTCGTTACTGAATGGGTAGCAAGAGTGTCGTCGAGTGGCTGGAATTTGTTCATTTCTATGTTAACTGAAGCCTTAACAGCGTGTGAAGAATTGCGCCAACAGCAACAAGGCAAAATTCATGGCCCTGATGACACTCGACGAAACGATGGCCTGACAGAACACAACATCAACATGAGGAAAATACGGAAAGCGAAATATTGCTGACAATATCTGCGTATACAGCACGGGTTGATACCTGTACACAATAATTACAATCAGAAATAGATCGTGTGTATGTCGTGTGTCCAAAAGACTATTCGTATACAAGCGAGTTTCGTTGAATGAACAGAAATTTTCCTTTGGAGGTTCGTTCCCTTCAGAATAGATAACTGTTATCCTAAACGACTGCCTAGAACTGTAGGGTAATTTTACCTTTTAGCCGGCCCCATATAAACAAAATGCCTTATGTAATAGTGCATATACGTATGATTTTAGCGTTTCTGTCCGATTCGTATTCATCGAGCTATAATATTTTCGATTGTTGTCCTTTAATTGATCTACGTAAATCCGCCAGCCTTCAATGGCTTCTTCAGAAACGGATCCGATATAAGTTTTAGCTTTAGAAATATACTGCAACCACAATACATTTATATCATCCCGCTATCGTTCATTAGCTTATTTTACGTAGACATAGATTCGTCAGGAGATACTCGATAGGACAAGCATAAACACCTAATTAACCGAGAAGGCATTGAACAGTCGTCATATATAACCGCATCGTACTTAGTAAACATGACGATTGTGAGCCCATTTACACTAACGACTCGACGCACGAAGGCGCTTACGTAATAAAAACGTTTTTTATTTACCATCGAAGCTGCTCTTAAAATATTTGAATTTTTATATCTAGTTATATATTTACTATTTGTCCTTAGAATACACATGTTTGTAATTATTTCGCAGGAAAATTGCGGCCGAACAATAGAATTTTATAATAGATTTGCTCGTTTTCATCAGCGTGCGGTTCAGCTGCAATCAAACGGGCACTTTCTGTCCAGTAACAGGCGACGATATTATCAACACGGAGCAAATCAGCCTTTGTGAAGAAGCTTAGCGGATCAAAACATCTAACGTCAGGATCAATGGATCGGCTAGGAAATAGTAACAACAAAAATAATAATAATAAACCAATAATCAGCATACCGTAACAACAAATTGGGTCTTGTTTCTTGTTCGGAAAACAAAGGCTACTGTCTTTAGATATATTTACACGTGTATTTACAGCTTAGGAAATATTTATACGTTTTTTCTGGGTATTAGTCGATTTTCTCGAACGTACCTTGCACAGTCTTATCGGCATTGTATCTATATGACAAACGTGTTTTGGCATGTAGCGATGTTAACGTTAGTTTCTTTACTCGCTTACGTAGAACTTCAGTCTCTTTCTTTATTGCAACCAACGGCAAATTCTAGAGTATTGTCCTAATCATTTTGGTGCATCCAAATAATGGGTCGTAGTTCAGATGGTGTAACCGGTTCACCGATTCATATCCGTAAAAGGACGATTATGATGTAGTTACCCATTTGCCAAACACATGTCTACAATATGATACCTTATATAATACTCTCGATACCAAATCTATGATAGGAATTATATTATTTTATATTGGTGCCGTTCCGGGTGCCCACAACATTTATTGCGGAGGTACTATTGATCATACAATAATAGTAAGGTAGGTAATATACTCGCATATTTACCACATTAACCTGACGTTCACCCCTTGCCCCCAACAGATCTGTCACCGAAGCCTTTCTATCTTTAACATTCCAACTGTCACAGCTGTTCCGATGATTGGGGCTATTCACCTAACCATAGGATTATGGTAGGTTCAACGATTGCGAGGAACGCCGTTGATGATTAACAAAGATGGAACAAATCGATTGTCTCTCACATGAC